CCTGATCCCTATTGTTGAATTAATTTTAAAATTGGGAATGCAGAGTCGCAATGGGACTGGTGCTGTCATCATTTCCCCTACACGAGAGCTTAGTCTCCAGACCTACAGTGTTTTGAAGGAGCTCACAGCTCACACCCAAATTCGCATTGGCCTAATCATGGGTGGCAGTAACCGACAGGCTGAAGCCCAGAATTTACAGAAAGGTGTCACTATACTTGTAGCAACTCCAGGCAGGCTTCTTGACCACTTGGCCAACACTGAGAACTTCCTTCGTCACAATCTGAAAGCCTTAGTAATCGATGAGGCGGATCGTTTGTTGGACATTGGCTTTGAACTTGAGATGGAGCAGATTATTCGTCTGCTACCAAAAGACCGACAATCCATTTTCTTTTCAGCTACGTTAAATGAGAAGACGCACAAGCTTGCGAAGTCAGCACTAAAGACCAATTGCATTATGATCGGAGTTGAGGAACAGTGTGAGGCAACTGTGGAAACGCTCGAACAAGGTTATGTGATCTGTAATCCTGCTACGAAATTTTCTTTGCTCTATACATTTCTCAAACGTAATAGGAACAAGAAGGTATGTTTCACTTATTAGCGCCTCAAATGCATTCGTTGATTGAGATGCTTAGTGTTGGACTATTTTTTAGATCATGGTTTTCATGTCAGCATGTATGGAAGTCAAGTTCTACTATGAGTTACTAAACTTTATTGATCTGCAAGTTCAGGCCATTCATGGACGTCAGAAGCAGGCTAAGCGGACTAGCACCTTCTTAAGTTTCGTCAAGGCTCAAAGTGCTGTACTTCTCTGCACAGATGTGGGTGCCCGAGGTCTGGATATTCCTGAGGTTTGTTTGTAAAATACTTCATTATAACATCCTTATCATCGTTGTTAAGCTATTTCTCTCATTTTTTGCAACTTGATATTTTGGTTGAATACGTCAATTTCATGAACCGGACGTGGACGACAACAACCTTACTCTTATGTTGAAACATTGATATCTCCTTGTTGCAGCCAGTGTTTCATTGTTGCTGTTT